GGGGGGGGGGGGGGGTGGGGGGGGGGGCGGGGGTGGGGGGGGGTCGTTGTGATAGCCGTTGTCCAGCTAGTAATGTCTGGCCAAATGTCTGCCTGGAGCCCATGTGTAGTGCGTTTGTGTCCTGCGACCTGGTTTATAACGGCTTGCCATCGGGTTATCAATACATGTCATCAATTTGTTAATTTTGGTCCTTTGTACGAGTCCAAACATTGTGTCCTTGATGCATACGATCTTTGCGCTATTGTGTAATATACTAAATATCCTGTAATATCCTGTAAATATCCTGTACCCGTACTTCATAAAGTGGTTCTGAGGGTTGTTGCTATTATACTATGTTCCTGTTGAATGACAACTTTAAACAAAACGGTCACGTTCTAAGGTTAGGGATTTGTAATAGTGAATGGTTTTCCTGATGTTGTCTCTGTGGCTATTATCTCAGGTAATATTATCTTTGTTATGATATATGATAATATTATGGCAATAATATTTAATATGATAAACATTATGGTAAATATAAAGATATGGTAAATATTATGGTGCTATCTCAGATAAATGGTAACCCGTAATGATAAAACTATATGTCCATTCCTCCACCTGAAATCTGACATTTGCTCCACTGATTTCAATGCGGTTGTCTGTAGCTGATGGACGTCTCGTAGGCAATTTCCATAAGCTTCCCATTGACATGGCTGGAAAAGTCCGGGGACCAGGGAACTTGATGGTATACGGCCCTAGAACAGCAGCTTAGATGAGCTGAGTTCAACTCGGAACTATGAGAATATCGTTCAAGACTGATCTCGTCCAGTCAGCTGCCTGTGCGATTTTGATGGGTCAGGCAATTTTTCACGTGCAGTTCTACATTTTTAAAGTTTTTTTTTACGTTTTACATTTTCCTACGTTGATATCTGAATATCAGGTTCGCTGCCCCCTCGCGGGTCAATTTTTTCGGATCATAGCAGATGGCCACTAGCCATACCTATGATTGGAACTGGTGTCAGGTTCAGGGGGCCTCTCTTCTCTTGATAGACACGAAGACTGCATGCAAATTATTCTAGTTACTTGTGCGTGGGAAGCATGCAGCATGTCGGAATTCATCTGGACTTATCTTTTGCCCGTTCGTTCGCGGTTCACGTACAAAGGTTCCGCAGAAGTTTTGGCTTCGGCCGCAGAGGGAGCGTTCCGTAAAATAAGTTAGGGACTGAGCAGAAGACAAGACCAAGCTACTCAAAATCGCCGATGGGCAAGCTTTCTTCTAAAGCTGGAAAGAGGGCTGGAGCCACCAGCTGAGGTGACACTACACATCTGCTATACATGGCCATTTTGGGGCCCAGAGCCCGGTAATCGTGTCAGCGTCATGACAGTGTATTTAGCTATACACTGTACGGCGTTCCACGACCTGAAGAGCGGGGTTTTCAACAACTGACTCATCACCGAACGTGTTGTGAACCATTGATTCGAAAAAGTGACGTTAATTGCTCGGAAAACAAGCCTGAGGGAAAAACGATTTTCTTGTAATCTGGGAAATCTTTTAACTTTGCATTTACGCAGGCAAACGGACTCCTGCCAAAGTTGTCACGCCTTGCTGGGACTGAGAAAGGGTTTTTATTCAAGGTCAGTATACGAAATAAAATGGGGAGGAATTTGGGTGGGACCCGGTTTTTTAATGCTTTTAGTTTTACGCGTGCTGACAATTTCAGCCGTTTCCAACCATATTCATAGCAAACTAAATGATTCAGCCCTCCACAGTCGCCGGATTAATTCGAAACAAGCTGAATCAACGAAGAACTTTTTCGCGCGAAGCGGCATTTAATGCCACGGTCCCCCTCCAACCGGCGGGACCGCCGTACACCGCGCCATCTGGGGAGAGGGGTTGGGGTAACGAGGCTACCATACTTGAAACGCGCGTGGCCCGCCGGCGTCCCCTGCGGCAGCTCTCGCTATTGATTTGAAACGTGGCGGCGGCGGGCGCAGTGAGTCATCGGGCCCTCTGGTGATGCCGGCGCGCATCACAGACGCCCGAGCCGCCGCGCGCCGCCCGCCAGTGATAGGTTGTAGTGCATGGGGAGAGGGAGCGACCGCCGGCGGACAAAGGCACCGCATCGCGGACGACCGCGCACGCCCGAGGAAGTCTGCAGAGCCCCGCCGCCGGATAGCAGCACAGACGAGGTACGTTGATGAGTCATGAGGCGGTGTTCCAGATAAGGGACGGAGATGAGCCGTAAGCGATAACGCAACAGGCGGCATGCTTTGTACGGCGATGAGTCGTATGCTTGTAGGGATGAGGCGTCGACGATGCCATGCGGGTGAGTCACCTGTCGCTTCCAGCCGTAGGCAGGGTACCTTTGGAGGAGCCATGGGTCAATTGGATAAAATGTATGTGTAGGAGAGACGGCAGTGCAGACGAGGGACGGCCATCGGCCGATCAGTGGCGGCGGAGAGGCGAACGAATTACGGCCACTGAGTGTGGGGGAGAGCAGCGCGCGGAGATGAATGTGGCGACGGCAGTGCTTACGCCTGCGGAGGTGGAAGGCGGCAGCGGCGGCAGATCGTGCTTTGGGATGAACTGTGGGCAGCTAAGCACACGCGAGGCACAAATCTCAGACGTTAGGCGGCAGGGCATGGAAGGCACGGAGGCCAGCCGTAAGACAGCCGCATGGCCGTCCAAATTTGAGCATGAGTGGCATTGGGGCGGATAAGGCACGGAGAGTGGTACGGAGAGTGCCGAAGGCGGCGGCTGTGCGGACGGGTATGAGCCGTGAGGTGGGGACAGCTACACCGACGAGGCATCGGCGTCAGCTGCCATGTCAGCCGGTGTACTCAAGAGGACCAGCGCGCCTAGACGGGCGACCACACAAGGCCAGCGACCCGGCCCGGCGCGCGGCCGTCTGCCATGGTAACGGCTCGCGCCCGGCGCTGGATTACTTCGCGTCTCTGTTACCCTCTGCGGTGCTAATCGGCGACGAAGTCGTGCTGACGGGGTTGGCAACCCGGGAGTGCGGTTCCGGCTTGGCGCCCGCCGAACGTTTTCCGGTGTTTTGAGCAACACGCTGCCGCCTGCCGGCCGGTCATTGCAGGACGGGAGACACCCAAGACGCGTGTCTGCTGTCGGCTGATGAGAAGACAGAGGACCGAGCTGTTGTGTAGGAAGAGGACCGAGCTGATGAGAAGACCGAGGGCCGAGCTGATGAGAGGACTGTGGACCGAGATGTTTGCTGTCGGCTGACGAGCTGATAGAGGATGGAGGCGTCAGGGAAAGTCGCCGGTATATGCAGAAGAGGGACAGA